TTAAGTTTTAAAGGTGTTATTAGGTTTGTCCCATAGAAGGAATGTATAGGACTTTACTTGTATTAAAACATAATTTTTAGTAATGAGTTAGCTCAAAATTCAGCACTGAGTAAAGATTTAACATTTTCTCCCTATAATTTTATTTATAATAATTATGTCTTTAGTGATACTAAAGACTTTATAAAAATACCATTACATTATATACCCAATGACTGTGAAATCATCTGCCTTGAAGCATGGCAAAATCATCCATCAGCAAACTGGATCTAAAATGGAGCCATTTTAAGAAAGCTATTTACTCTCCAAATTGCAAGTTGTTCTTCTTTTTTTTTTTTTGAAATTAATACATTTCTAAAATGCTCTAACTATGATTGTTTAAAAAAAGTAATGGTTCTTTTTATGGTAAGGAAACAAATTGAACCTCTGTGCTGGAAAGCTCAGAAAACAAATCAGCATTCTTTATAAATAGATTTTAGTGCTGGTTTAGAAATTACCTTATGTGCTTTTTAGATGATAGAAAATGAAATCAACTTCTGTTTGCACTGTGTGCATAGCATATTTGCTGTGTCACTTTCAAGAGGATTATGAAATGTTGGGAGGTCAGATGTCTTGAAATGGAGAATTCTGAAAAGTAGCAAAATGAGAAAACGAAAATAAAGCAAAGTTAGTGGTTTAATGCATCCTCTGATGGAAATGAGGGAAAACCCTGGATTGGGAGTCAGCAGGTCTGTGTTCTGACTTTGAGTGATAGGTGACTACAGCAAACCTGGGCCTCAGTGAAGACCAAGGCTGACTGGGCGTCAGGTTGACTGGTATGGAGCAGGGAGAGGGCACTGGCCAGACCAAATGGCCAAATTTAGTGTTCAATGCTCACTGCTAACAGGGCATGAATATGCATCCCGAGGGCAAAACTGACACCAGAATCTGGATTTTCTGGTGGAATCTGAGACCTCAGTCTAATGGGCAGGATTAAGTAGTCTTTGCGGTCCTGTGGGACCCAAAGAGGTATGCTCTGCAAATGTTGGCTGGTCAGCCCCTTAGAGCCTTAATTCCATTTAGCTAACATTCTTTGATTACCTAAGTTAGACAGAAGCCAGCCACAGATGCAGAGACAAATTCTTTAGGTGTGAACTAGAGGTCCAGCTTCCAGGAGCTCTAGTCCCAGAGCTTATGCTTCAAGGGAGGAGGGAGAAACCAGCATCTTGCCATGGTAATTGCAACTTAACTGACTTCCTAAAAAAGAGTGCTTAAGCCTTAGTCTGCTCCAGCTGCTATAATACATTATCACAGACACACTACATTAGGGTGGTCTAAACAATAAACACTCATATCTCACAGTTCTGGAGGCTGGGAGGTCCAAGATCAAGGTGCTGTCAGGTACTGTGTCTAGAGGGGTTCTACCTCCTGGCTTGTAGATCTTCTGTTGACTCCTCACATGGCTGAGAACTCTAGTCTTTTCCTTCTTAGACAAACACTATATTCCATCATGAATTTCTCACCCCCATGGCTTCATCTAAACTTAATTACATATATCTTTCCCTTTGGAGTTATATCACTTTGAATTTATGAAAAATGTACATAAGTACCTGTTTTTGCTAAGCAAAGGGAATTTGAAGAGGATTTCCAATTTGGTGACAGAAGTCAAAAAGCAAAACTAGCATCCAAGTTCCTTTATAGCAGCTGGTCTAGATGAACTTGCGCCCAGCTCCTTCCCTGGGAACTGCATTATTCAGGCTGTGGATGTCTACCATTCTTGCTCTTACTCTGTGTTTAGTGTCATTTTAAGTTATGTTATTTGATATGATATGTTAGGTTATTTTTAGGCTTGGAAGTGCTCAAAAAATTTTCCATGTAAATTAATGTAATTGCTTCTTTGCTTCACACAATTTTGACTTAGTAAAGATTTCATAGGAATGTTCTACTTTCAGCTAGCAGGGGAAACCTGTGACTTCGAATAGCCCAACCTCCTAATGCCCATGGTAGGCTAGGGTTTTAACATGTGAATTTTGGGGAAGAAAAAAACAGCAGTCTAATAACATTCAGTTGTTCTTTGGATAAAAATCTAGCCCTGATATAAAGACTGAATTATAACTCGATTCTTGCCCAATTTGTCCGGATTTTTTAAAAACAAAGATAGCTTGACTATTTCTTTGAGAGATTTATTCATTCTTATTATATTTAAGAATTATTACAGAATTACATACACAAGGCTTCTAATTGGGAAATCTATAATAGGTAGCTTTTATAACAATTGGGTAAAAGCATGTACTTTGAAATCATGCAGTAGAATTTATGAACACATGCTAATTGTCCTAGACACATTATTCAGTTTAAAAACATGAAATCTGATTTTGGCTAATCTTATTATTTCAGTGGTGCAGAGTAGCTTAATTTGAGAGACTCGTCCAAGATTGCACCATCAAGAAGTAGTGTAAAGCATGCACTGTACAAAAAGGAAGAATGATGTAAAATATATATAAAATAAAATTAAATGAAAAAATAAAACGTGGTGTAGCTGGGGTATGGGTTCTAGTTTATCAGCTCCATATATCAGGATCCATATACCTTTTTACTACAAGGCTTTCATTTTCTGAGAATACTAACACCCTTTCTTTTGAAATCTTACTGCCTTCTGGGTCATGACTTTATTAATCTGTGAAAAGGACACCATGACTCTGTCTGGCAACTTTTCTTGTCCTGCTTGCTAATAGATATTCCAACCCTTCCTCATATTGGAATGGCCAGATCTAAGGCTTGGGTTTGGGCTTGAGGAGAAGATGGTGGAAGGGGCCTCTGATCTGCTTTGGCCTTAAACTAAGTTATAACAGAGTCCCTCCAGCTGGAGCTCAGCTCCCTAAACCTTTCTCTGTAGTTGGGGAAAATCTCTGGGTAGTAGTAAAGTATTATTTTACCATGCTTTGTTTTCTGTACATGTATATCTTTCCTAGGGACATCATGGGGAGACTTGTTTCCTGGCCAAATACTACCTTAATCACCTCCATTATTACAAATTTTATTTCTCTTGTAGAATTGAAATCTAAGTGCAGATCCAGGCAATAAGGGTGGCAAGAGAATTACATTATGAGGAAAATATCCTTTAGTGTCTTCTTAGGGACAATGATTGTTTTCTCCCTTGTTCTATACCAAGTTCCCAGCTTGCATAAAAATGGTGTTTGGGTCTGAGGCAAACTTCCTGACTGGTTAGCAATAAGTTAGCCCACCACTGGTAACACTGCTGGGAACCTTCTCTTTTGTTCAATCAGACATCCTACTATTTGAAAAGGAAAACTATTGATATTTATTGAGTTCCTGTTTTGGGGCCAGAACTATGTTAAATATTAGACATATTAAATTATTTTTAATATCTTCACATTTGGCCCTCATAACAATACTCTGATGTACATGCTATTACTCCAATTTTAGAGATTATAAAACTGAGGGTCTGAGAAGACTAAAAATCTGCAGGAAAAATTGGTGCTGAGATTTGCAGCAGTTATAAACTGGGCCACTACAGTAGTGCTCTCTCTCCATCTGACAGCTCTTTCTTTGGTTCTTCCAAATCCTTAGTCTTCAAGAGTCAATCCTCAAACTGTAAGTTACACAGGGAGGAGATGACACTTTAAGTTTTGTGGCTGAAAATGAAGTTTCTGGAAAACTATGGGGTGGGCTAGGGTAGGGGTTTTGGATAAGCTTTATGTAATTTGTAGGACTGTAAAGACTGTATTCACATTTCCTGTCCTAATGGTTCTGACATATTAGTCTCTCTTGTGGATTAAATGAAGGAAAATTTCAATGAAAAGTTTTTTAAAAAGGAAAGATCAACCCTGATCTTATAGTTGGGTCTCAGAGTTCTGTTTAATCTAAGCAGGTCTTAGTTCAGTCTGAAGGACACAGACATGATTCTGGCAATCTGTAAGTAAATGCTTCAGCATGCAGTGTTCACTAAACCATGTGTAAATGTGTTAGCAAGCAGAATGAGGGCACTCTGGTATCCCCAAACTTGCCTGCTCTAAAGAGATTCTGCCATCTGCCACATCAAAACAAAAAATACTTTAGTGCATATGACCATCAAGAGAAAAGAACTTTCATATAATTAATGTGCAATAGAGAGAAGAAAAAGAATATTTTTAAAATTGCTTTCAATTAAGCTCCCAAAGTTACCCAGCCCCTTGCTGGTAAATGCCCAGCCAAAGAGGGTTGGCCCAAAGCAGGGCCATTGATGCCCGAAAACTTGCCAGAAGTCTAAAGCACCTTCTGGTGGGGACCATAGGCAAGGGGCAGAAGGGGCCAGGCAAGCTTGGAAGGAAAAGAGCAAAATCAAATTCCACGTCAAGATAAAGGCTGCCATATTGGGCTTCCCCGTGGACCTCTCACCTATGTCTCTGTCTCTCTCAAGTGTCTCCTTCCATGTCCCCCAAATCCATGGCACTAAGTTCAAGGCCGAGAAGCAAGCGTGGCTTCTTCTTCACATGTCTCTGCTCCATGTTCCTCCTCCAGGTCTTCTCATAATCCACTTCAGCTTTTTTCTTCTCAGTTTTTTTCTATTTTTCCTCCTGCTCAGCTCTACCCTTCCTTGGGTGGGGCAGGGAACCTGGAACCACCCTGTTCTATGGCTATCACAGAACTTCATTTAACAGAGCTCCGCTCCCTCCCAGGCTGGTCAGTTTGTGTGGTCCAAAGGAAACTGACATGGGATTGCTTGGTTTTGCAGGCACAAGAGATAAGGCTGGGGACAGGATCCTGGGCAGGCACCATGAACTGGGAAGGGGCAGGGTTAGAATGATCCTGGGTGACTAGGGAACTGTCCATCTTTGCGTTGACCAGTGTTCACAGAATCTCTCAGCTGTCTTCAAATGCTTCCCACTGCTGCCTGAGTTGGGTCCTGAGGCGCCTTCTTTCATCAATCTTGGCCTGCGGCTATGCACACAGGGGTCAATTTGCCTAGCTTTCTTGATCCACACCAGAAACTTGCTTTTGAAGTGGTTTGGAAAGCTCCAAAAGAGATGTGCTTCAAGGTACTAGTATTGCTGCCAAAGAGGAAAGATTCTGCTTTCCATCAGCTGTGTCCTCGGCCTTGCTGTATCTTTCTAGCACCTACTGCTGACGGCCCTGGTTACGCTGCCACGCTAGTGTAGCTGAAGCTGAAGACCAGGAAGGGGGTCTCCTTTCTTCAATTCCAGGGCTGGGAATAGGCTTATGCAAGATTCCATCTGAGTGCAGGTAAGCTGGAATTCTGCGGCAATTCTTTTAACAGGAGGCTGGACATTCTTTATAGTTTCCCCAGACACGGGAATTGGCAGGGCTTGAAAAAGAATCACTGGCAGGAAGTTCATTTTCTTTATTGCTACCTCCCCAGCCATAAAACTAAAAGCTTTTTACCTAAATCATGTTTGCTATCTCCTGGGAGTGAGAGATCATTTCCTTCAGTTTTTCCCAATTGGAATTTAGTCCTAAGGATTCCATAATTTCAGTCGTCTATTTGAATTTGAAGAGCTTTCCTAGTAATGTTTCTCACCCCTCCCTGGCTTCTGATTCTGTGTCATTTGTGCTGACACTCCCCCTCCAGGTCCCCCACCGTCTCAGATTCCTGGAAATGAGAGTCTTTCATTGTGAACTCCTTCTTCTTGCTGAATTAGAACTTCATTCTCCTGTTGGACTAGCTTTTATTTCATTTCTTCAAAATAAACTTCCTCTCTCTGAGTTTCCTCTAACTCTTTGACCCAGGGCTATTTACCTCCTGTAAATAAGCAGAAGATTGGAAACTCTCTTTGTGTTTGGTGATCTGTGTAAACAAAACATTTTGAGGGGTGAGCTCCTGATGTGAAAAAAAAAAAATTCTTGCTAAAGTTTTTTTTTCATTTAAAAAATTTAAAAATACAATAACTGACACTACTGACATCAGCCTATATTCAGGGTGTGAAATAATGTCAGAGCTTTGTGATCTAAAGCTGACAGTGATAAAACCTCTGCATGATGTCAGGCAAACTGCTGCAAGCTCTAAGGGTGCAGAGACTAGATTTACTTTATTTATTTCTATCTAGCCAGTGTCTAGCCCTGTGCCTTCTACCTCCTAGGCACTTACGCATTGACCTAGCTCTTGCCTACTTTTTTTCCTCACATCTCATGCCAGTTCTCATCTGTCTCAGTCACACTGATCTTTGCTCAGATCCTTGAGCTGGCCTAGCGTGGGCTGCCTGGGCCCTGATGCACTCACCCTTTCTGTGCTGGTATATTCTGTATATACCCTTTTCTTTCAAGTGTTGTCAAGGCCAGCAGCTTGGGCATCCTTGGGAGCTTCCTACAACTCAGAACTCATGAGCCAGAATTTGTACTTTTACTACACTCTTTTTTTTTTTTTTTAAAGATTTATTTATTTACTTATACAAGCACTGGGTACAGTCAGAGGTGCGGGAGGGTGAGAGAATTCACCAGAGCCAGAGCGGGGAGCAGAGCAGGCAGAAAGACTGAAGTACACTGCTGAGGGGAGCAGCGGGCTGCAGGAGAGGTCTGCGCACCATGTGGGACCCTCGCCAGGCGGCCGGGGATTGAACCAGCGCTGCAGAGGCTGCAGGCAGCTTCACAGCCCAGCACTCAACCGCTGCGCCACTGGGGAGGCCCTACTACACTCTTTTTTTAAAAAAAGATTTATTTATTTATGCATATAAGATCTGTGGTGCAGACCAGAGGTTTGGGGGGTATGTGTGTGAGAGAGGATTCACCAGAGAGAGTGGGGAGCAGAACAGGTAGATCTACTGAAAAACACTGCTGAGGGGAGCAGTGGGTGAGACAAGAGAAGTCTGCTGCGCCTTGTGGGTTAGTTCCTTGGCCGGCCAGGGATGGAACTCATGCTGCAGTGGCTGGCAATATCTTGATAGCACTGTGTCTATAACCCCTGTGCCACCAGGGAGGCCCTACTTTTACTAAATTCTAGTGATTTATGTGCACTTAAAGTTTCAATAACTTTGCTCTAGATCTTAGCCTGAGTGTCAGTTATTTGTACTTTACAAATAACACAAAATGTCAGTTATATGTACTTTTACAAATAGACATCTGTCCTAACCAGTCAATAGGGGTGACATTAGGTCACCAATGGATTAACTCCCAACACCTGTGGTACCCCAAAGGAAAAGAAAGTGAAACACAAAAGAAGGAAGGGGAGGTGAAGCCAAAAGTTTTGGATTATATAGAGAGAGGAGCATGTGAAATCTGCATATAGTTTGATTTGAGTAAATTGAAAATTGCAAGTTTTTTTTTGCTTTAACACATTTTGCGCTCTCTTGGAAAACCACTTCATATAGTTGCTTTGTTTTGATTTGCCACATTATGACACCCGAGGAAAAATGTGTGGCAATGAGCCAGAACTGGTTTGGGTTTTCCAATATTTCATTGATCCATGGTTGTAAGTGCATTGTGGAAAGTCCAGCTGGAACATCCTTTCTTTAATATGGTTTGACTCCAACTTAGTTGCAAGTCAATTGTTCACTGTTTTGTTGCAAACACTTTAGACATTGCATAATGGTCTGATAGGTTTGTAGTTCTGGGGGGTCCTCTGTGGATTCTGTGAGAGACCAATAATAGCATTATAATAACATTATTGCAGATCTCCAGCATTGAGTGTTCAATTAACAAACAAAGCAATGGTTTGTGACTATGAGACAAAAGAAGATACACTAATTGAAAGTAACACCTTCATTACTTATTTATGAAAATATTTTTAAGTTGTCATGTCTGTATGCTTTATTTGTGAAATATTTTGCCTTTATTGTCATATATTGCAGGGTTTTTGTGCCAATGGATTCTATTAATGTAACTGGACAACTTGTTGGTGTTATTTAACAAATTGAAAAGGTTGGCAGAGCTGTAATTGTATAGCACAGCCCCACATATTCCTTGAGCACTATAGCTGCTCTTTGTTTGTTTAATAGTTAATTTGAGAGAGAAGCTGGGAGCAGGGGTGGTGCTGTTTAGGTGTAATGGAAGACATATTTGACCTTTGTTGCAAGATATATAGATAAAGTAAAATAAAAGTTAAAATCATGTTTGTGTCAAATCTGTATAGTTTAAAACATCAGAATTTTTCTGCACATCAAGGGAAGAAGTTTAGTAGAAATCTTAAGGGAAAGAGGGACCAATGGTTATTGGTTGCCTTTCATGGGGACTCACTTAATCATCACAATCACCCTTCTAGATAGGTTTTATTTGTTCCATTTTACAACCACATGAAAAACTAAGCCTGAGATTGGAAGTTTTTTTTTTTTTTAAACCTGGCTATGTGTTGCAAGCATAGTCGTGGCATTTAAAAATACCCTGCATGCGCTATTTACAATAGCTAAGCTATGGAAACAACCCAAATGCCCAAAAATAGATGACTGGATCAAGAAGATGTGGTACACATACACCATGGAATATTATTCAGCAATCAAAAAAGATAAACACATGCAGTTTGCAGCATCATGGATGGAGCTAGAAAGGATCATGCTCAGCAAAATAAGCCAGAAAGAAAAAGAAAAATACTGGATGGTCTCACTCATAGCAGGAATTTAGAAAACCTAAATAAGGGACCAGGAAAAAGACTAATTAATACAAAGTGAAAATCAAAATCAACAAGCAACTATAAACCAGAGACACACTACGTGGGGTGGGGGGGCAGCGGGGAGAGGAGGGATTAGGGTCAAAATAAGGGAGGTGCAATTATATGGGGAATATAACCAAAATTAAAATGCATACATTGTGCAAAAATGAAAAAATGATGTAAGAATTATATAAAATAAAATACTAAAAAAATAAAATACAAATACACTGCATACAGGTTAGGATGGCTGTGATAAAAAAAACCCTGGCAAACAAGTGTGTGTGTGGCTGGCAGGAATGTAAAATGGTGCAGCAGCTATGGAAAACAGTACAGCAGCTCCTCAAGAAGACTCATATACAATGTTGTAAGCCACCGCTACCTTAATACAAAAAAATACAATAAAAACTAAAACTGAATCAAACAAAACCATTAAAAGAACAATAAACATTGAATGACCATATGACCCAGTGATCCCACTCACAGGTATGTATCCAAGGAACTGAAAGGAGCATCTTAAACAGAGCAAATCCTCACTTGAAATGGTTGAAAGGTTTTTGGAAACAAACTGACTTCAAGTGAAAAGACATATAATGAAACCAATTTTTTACCATAGGTTCATCCATATAAATAAGAGTTAAGTTCCTACTGCATATTTATGGTTTCAAAAACATCAAACACCTGCATCTTCCTGTTTTTTTCCACTTGGGGTATTGCTCTTCGCCCTGGGGCACTCTTGTCTATATGTCCACAGAAATGGATCCCTCACTTCCTTTGAGTCTTCTCAGCAAGAGAGTCTATTTTGTTTTTCTGTTACTGCGGTAACCAATGAACACAAAGTCAGTGGCATCAAGGAACTCATCTCTCTCAGCAAAAATCCATTTTCTTACCTTTATCCGCTCCTGGAAGATGCTCACATTACTTGACTCATGGCTGCTTTCCAGTGAGCAATTTTATCTCTCCAATCTCTGTCCACCTCCTTCCCTTTGACTCTTTTGCCAGCTTCTACCTTTACATTTTTGACCCATTTGGATAATCCATGATAATCTCCACATCTCATGATCTTTAATAATCACCTCCGCAACATTCTGTCACACAAGGATACAGACATATTATTCTACCTGCTATAACTTCCTTGACCATCCTATTTAATGGGTACCTGTAAGAGCCTTCCTACCCCTCTTACTTGCTTAATTTTTCTCTGGACCACTTATCACCTTCTGGAATATTATATATTTTACATACTTTGTTGACAGTTTCTCCTCCCACTGGATTATAAACTAAATGAATGTAGGTAATTTTGTTTTCTATTATTGTTGTATTTTTCAGTACTTGTGACAGTGAATAGCTCATAGTAAACATTCAATAAATAAATATTTTTGCCTAAATGCATTAGGTGGAGGAGTTTGGGAAAAGAATTGTTTTGTCCACATTGAAATGTTTGCTCAAATTTTAGTTTCTCATTTTTTTCTCTGAAATTTGTTTTTGGTCTTTCTTTGAACTATACTCAGACATTTCATTTTTTTAATTTTTATTTAATTTTTAAATTTTTATTTATTTTTTATTTTATACATTTTTACATCATTTTCATTTTTGCATAATGTATGCATTTTCATCTTGGTTATAGTCCCCATACAATTCCCACCCCCCT